GATCATCCAAAACAAGAACAATTAACATTAGATGAAGCTCTATCATTTGTTTGTCAATTAACTACTGAAATAATAAAAGAAAATTTTCATTATGATATGTCATGTGTACAAATTGAATGGTTCTATGGTAAATTTAATAAAAACAAAAAAAAAAAAAGATATTTTTTTCTCTTTTTTTTTTTATAGATTTTCTTTTGAATCATTCAGAAATTATTTTAAAATATTCTCATTGGTTTAATAAAGATATAGAACTAGTCAAAGATGATCCAATTTATTTAAAACAATGTCAATTAAAAAATATGATTGAAAATCAAAAGAAATAATCTCTCTTTTTCTTATGTCTTGTATTAATTGTACATCTATTAAATTTACTTTTTTTTTACATGTAGAAAAACCAACAAATAAACACAATCAATCTATTTTTTTTTTCGTTTCTTGATATATTATTGTAGATGACAAATTCATCAGATAAACGTATATGTAATATTAATGATAAGATTAATTGTTAATTATATATTATTTAGATAAAGATCAAATAAAACGTAAACAAGTTGATGATAATATATTAGAATCATCGATATTTGATATTTTGGAAAATGATTTTCAAATTGGAGATATTGTTTGGGCGAAATTAAATGGACTTTCATGGTAAGATTTACATTAAAAATTTATATGACTGTCCAACAGGTCTCAAAATTGGATCATTTTTCAATAGCTCGTACCTGCCCAATCCAAATTCTATTCTATAAATGACCAAGAGAGTTTTCAATAAATTTTTTTGAAACCTAATCGGATAGATAGTCCTACGGCTTCATACTCTTATATCGCACATATTTTTATAGTTCATGTAGCCTTCGCCCTTATATTCCTTGTAGCTCTTGTAACTTTATCCTCTTACTCCTTTCAAGGCCTATGGATGGGTATCCCATAGAACAGTCCTTGAGGACATATGAGTTTCCCCATAAGATAATCCTTGATCACCTATGGGCTCCTTCATAGGATAGCCCTTGAGGACCTATGAGTCCCTATACAGTGGCCCTTAGGAATTTCCTTATAGCCTTGTTTGATCTTTAACCTTTGACCTGGTAACAGACAGACAACTGTACTTTATTATGGTAGTATGGATAGATTGCCTTACCCCTTCTTACTTGTCCCCTTACTGTCTTATTCCCTTCAGGGCCTGTGGGTACCCCTATGTAATAGCCCTTAAGGACCTATGAGTCCCTATACAGTAGTTCTCAGCACCTTCTCCTTATAGCCTTATTTGACCTTTGATCCGGCACAGAGAAACAAACACTGAACATTATATATAAAGTCTGTTTGAACTTAACATTCTTTTTGTTTTCTCTAGGTGGCCATCATTTGTTTACGGTAATGATTAGTTTGAGCGAAAAAAAAAATCTAATCAGTGATATGATTTTCATATCTAGGTTGTTTTTCGGATAATTGGAGATATGTTAAACCAATGTGTAAGTTATTTATTCATAATTAATTACTTTGATTTTATTTGATATTTTTTGTTTTTACAGCAAAACCTGGATTATCTACGAAAAAACAATATTTTGTTTATTGTTTGGGTTCACATTCGCAAGTAATTAATCTATATATTATATATGATGTATTTATTGTTTAATTTTTAGCATGCATGGGTTCATCAAGCATGTCTTTTTCGATATAAAGGTTTAGAAGAATTTCTAAATTATTCAGAAACTCGAGCTGAACAAGTAATGATTTTCTTTTTTGTTTTGTTTTTGATAACATTTAAATTTTTAAGGCAACAACAAAACCAACAGAAGAACAAATACGAAAAAGATTTAGTGTAAAAATGCCAGAAAATTTACATTCTTTATGGTATATTTTATTGTTATTCTTAATGATTATATTTTCTATTTTTTAAATTTTAGGAAACAAGCAATTAAAGAAGCCGATGAAATTTTAGGTTTACCTATTAATTTACGTAAAAATGTCTTTGAAAAAATGCTACATTCATTATTAGCTGGTACTAAATATTCATTACCTCGACAAGGTAATAGAATCATTAAATTTATGATTAGAGATGTAAACCGATCAATGCATCAGTTTACATCTCTGTTTTTGATGTTAAAAATTTTGTTTTTGTCTTTAGAAACACAACGAACAGCATCGTCTGATCATATTTCCATTGATACATCGATCAATGACGAACAGCAATTACAAGTAAGTTATTGTAGTCAGAAGGCAAAACACAATCAACACAAATATTATCCTCTCCGTTCAATATATCACAACGAACAGTATCAAATAAAACAAAAGCAGCTGAAAATACTAAAAGAACATTTTCATTTAATTCAACACAAAAGAAATCAAATGAAATCGATCAATCATCAAATATTCAAGTATATGTTCTTTTTTTCTTGTTTAGATTATCATATAAGATATTTTGTTTGTCTTTAGTCAAAATCATTTCTTTTACCAACAGTAAATGAATTAGATAATGATGTTGTTATTGTTAAAATCAATGCACCAACATCAATATCACTTACAACTGCTATTTGTCATTTTCTTGATAAAGGTTTATTTATTTTTTGTTAATTGATTTTCCTAGAAACTCTTTCTAATTCTAGGTATTCCATCATTAACAATTTATGAAGAAATTCGTCTTGTTAATGGATTAATTAATCATCAATTAAGTACATTATTAACATTAACTGATGCTCAATTATATGTTGAACAATATGTAATTAATATTGCTACAATAAATTATAATCATCGAATGTTATTTGTTCAAAGTGATTTTTTCTATGATTTTCTATTAAAATATCCACAAATTATACTTAAACATCGACAATGATTTAAAGATTTTAAACAAACATTAATGCCAATAAATAGTGATAAAATTCAATTAAAAAAATGGCAATTAGCAACATTATTACATGCACATATGAATTTAGAACAAAGTTTTCATTAGAAGTTTTTTTTTTTTTTTTTCGTTTTGAAATAGATAGATTTAGATTTTCATTATAGAAATGAAATAGGGATCGAACACAAAAAAGTATCTTGTTTCCTTTTTTTTTTGCATTAATCAACGAAATATCACGATATTTAGCTTAGCTTTTAGAAAAAAAAAAGAACTTAGAAGTCATTTTTGATTATGGTTCCGGTGCTGATCAAAAAAAGAAATTCATCTTAGTTGGATCGGGACTGTCTTACCTATATCTATCTCAGAACACATGAGTCATGACTAGAGCCCAACGGATCCGGGCTATTGTTTGTTCTGTCACATTTTATTTTCAAAATATCTCGATCTGAAACATTCCGCTGGACTAGACAGACGTGATTTTTTTGGTTCCAATCTAGAGAAAACTATTTCAAAAATTCTTGAACACGTATTTTTTTTTTGGATTTATTTAGTCCGCAACTAGTACTTTTTTGGATTATCTCTCGTGAATTAAGTTCTGATCGGTATAATTCGCTTAAGACCATAGAATATTTCAATACTAGCGAGAACTCATGCATACTGCACGCTTGTTTTTTCCTTTAATGTATGATCTCAGACGTTTAACTTCATCCGCTAACAGACATACAGATATTCGATATTATGTATATAGATAGATAGTCCTTCAGCCTCATATTCTTATATCGCACATATTTTTATAGTGCATATAGCCTTACCTCCTTACTGTCTTACTTCCTTCAACGCCTATGGGTACCCCATATAATAGCCGATGAGGACCTATGAGTCTCCAACATAGTAGCCCTTAGCGCCTGTCTCTTATAGCCTTATTTGGCCTTTGACCGGTATAGAGAAACACAGACACACACTGAACTTATATACATAGAAAATCTTCAGTTCCGGTTGGAACAAATTTTATCTCAGATTAATATAGAATGAGCGGATTTGAATATGATATTTAGTCAATATGCCAATCTGAGGAATGTTAGATGCTGAGTTATTTATGAAAATTGTGATTATGATTCGATTCTTCTTATTGAAAATTTAAGTTCTCAACTACTGACATCTATCAGACCGATATGAACAATTGAAAATTTTTTTTATTTTTAAAATAGTTATAGATCAAATTATTGTTAAAAGAACCTTCACTCAGAGACAAAGGCTTGTAGATGCAATTAATTCGATTTAATGAGCTGGGAAACGACGCACTTCTGGACTCCGGGAGTACATAGGAAAACGAGGTACTCTTGTGCTTGCTGGATTCTCAATGTACTTTCGGAGTACAAGAAGTCCAGGCACTTTGGACTCTGTACTCCGTGTACTCTGGGAGTACCAGAATATGTCTTTTTCTTCTTGGTTTATCTGTTAATTATTTTTTCTGACTTCTTTTTCTAATGCTAGTAAATGATGAGCCGTTTAAAAATGAAAATTAATGACTTAAGTATTGATATCATTACGATCTTCGGTTTTGATTGAACATAAAATCATAGTACTTTTACTTTGTTTATGGTTATGATATTATACTGTCATTGTTCTTTTATCAATATATCGGAGATATACATGATTTTGAATTTCTAACTTTATTTTTTTTGAAAAAGTCTCGATTATTCTCTCGCTTCAGACTCTTAGCAGCAAAGTTTGATTCAGATGCACTCACTATGACTATTATTGTGTACAAGCCAAGGATGCTTTCAATACATTCGATTAAATACTTATCTTTTCTTTTAGATATAATATTCATGGCTACTGAACAATCATCTCCCGGTAAATAATAAAATTATCTTTAGATTATATTATTTTATATTAATTTTAGAATCTACACCTAGAAAACGTCAACGTCGTTTAAGACAAGATCCACAATATATATTTGAAAATCCGACAACACATGAAATTGAAATGGATATAACA